TGAAAATAGAGGCAAGGGGCTGTGGCTCTCGCCTTTAATCCCAGTACTTTGGGGGGCCAAGGCGGTTGGATTATCTGAGGTCAGGAGTTTGAGACCAGCCTGGCCAACGTGGTGAAACCCCATCTCCACTTAAAATACAAATAAATAAATAAGTAAAAATTTTTAAAAAATTAAAAAAAAAATAGCCAGGTGTGGTGGTGGACGCCTGTAATCTCAGCTACTCGGGAGGCTGAGGCAGGAGAATTGCCTGAACCCTGGAGGCAGAGGTTGCCATAAACCGAGATCGCACCATTGCACTCCAGCCTGGGTGACAAGAGCGAAACTCCGTCAAAATAAAATAAAATAAAATAAAATAATAAAATAAAATAAATAAAATAATAGAGACAGGGTCTTGCTATGCTGCCCAGGCTGGTCTTGAACTCCTGGGTCCAAGCAATCCACTGTCTCGGCCTCCCAAAGTGCTGGGATTACAGATGTGAACCACTGCACTCTGCCTCCACTGGAGATTTTCATGCAGGCAAAAGACACGAGTTGACCTTTGTTTTAATCGTAATCATATTCACAGCAATTATACCTTTCAGTACTGAGCATTTGCTTTGTGCTAGGCCTCAGCTAAGATACTTTCTCATGAGTGATTGAATCCCACATTACAGATGAGGCTAGGAGAGTTCACCAAGCCCGGTCACATAGTGGAGCTGGGACGAACCACCACATTGGAAGAGTTCAATAAACGTTAGTCATTGTTATTTTGCTGTTATTTGTTTTCATGAGCGTCCCCTGGCATGCCAGCTGTTGGGTGGTACCTTTAGGTTTGAAACTGCCTGGGTTGGTGCCAGTGAGCTGGACTAATAAAGCCATTTCATCAGAGTAGGGTTCAGAATAGGGTGCACTACCAGCCTCTGCCCCTGCTCTCCCCTGTTGCTGTGGTTATAAGCCGGGCACCTGGTTCTCTCTTGGTCGCTGGCCCCTCTCCAGCTCAGGCCTGGGCGACCCTGCTCCCACCTGGTGTTGCTCCGCGGCTGCCTCTCTGAGGTTGCCTCCTGCCTCCCTCTCTGGTTTTAGCTTTTCTCCAGCTGAGCAGGGGGCAGATCCCACAGGTGGCAGGGTGCAGGTGAGCTGGAGGGACCAAGGCCAGGTGGCTATGGAAAGTCTCCAGGGGAGGCGAGGTGAAGGCTGGAAGGGCCCCAGCCAGGGAACTGAAGGAGAGAGCATAGCTTTCAGAAATACACTGGATTTAGAATTGATAGCCTGTGACAACCTCACACCGTGAGAAGAGAGAGCAAGAAGTGAAAAATGAACGCTACTTGCAGCTCGAATGACCTGATGGCCCTGCGTGGTGAGCCTTACCCATTCCCAGAACTTTATTATTATTATTATTATTATTATTTTTTTTTTTTTTTTTTTTTTTGAGACAGAGGCTTGCTCTGTCACCCAGGCTGGAGTGCAGTGGTGCAGTCTCGGCTCACTACAGCTTCTGCCTCCAGAGTTCACTCCATTCTCCTGCCTTAGCCTCCCGAGTAGCTGGGACTACAGGCCCCCACCACCACGCCTGGCTAATTTTTGTATTTTTAGTAGAGACGAGGTTTCACCGTGTTAGCCAGGATGTTAGTCGATCTCCTGACCTTGTGATCCACCCACCTTGACCTCCCAACCTGCTGGGATTACAGGCATGAGCCACCACGCCCGGCCTTCCCGGAACTTTAAATACCATCTGTAGATTGACAATTCCCAACTCCCTGGGCTCCAGCCTTGAACACTGAGCTGCCCCTTTCTTCTTCACTTGGATGTCTCTCAAGCGTTTCAAGCTCAGCATTTCCCAAATGGAACTCAAAGTGGAACTCCAAAATGATTTGCCTCCCTCACCCCTGAACCTTCTTCTCCATCTCAACAAATGGTATCAACCCGCCCGCCTTCAAGCTAGAAAACTTGAGTGTTATCCTTGATGCCTCCCTCTTCTTCAGCCCTCACATCCCGTTGTCAGCAAGTCCCATCATTTCCACATTGGAAACACATCACGAAGGTGGCCAACTCTCTCCATCTCTACCACTACCGCTGCAGGGCAAGTCACCACCATCTCACCTGGATGACTGTGAGTCCGCATGGTCCATGATCTTTCCAGCTCCAAATTTTAGCCACTAGGGTCTTTTAGGGACACACATTTGATTGTGAATCCTCATATCCAATGAAGTCCAGCCACACTTAGCATAACAACCACCATCTTCCTGTGGCTTACAAGGTTCTACGCCAGATCCCAGCTTCATCTGACGTCCCCTTTCCTCATCACTCTTGCCCCTCTAGCCTCACTGGCTTCCTTTTAGTCCCCACACGCCACGTCTTTCCTTCCTTAGGTCCTCATCCAGGGTTCACCATCGTCCCCACTGTCGGGAATTCTCGTCCTTGCCTTTGCGTGGCTGGCTCCTTCCCATTCTTCAAACTTCAAGCTAAATGTCCCCCCTCAGGTCACTGTCCACAACCTAAGGGGCTCCACAGGCTCTCTCAGCACCCTCTTTAGCCAGTCATCTCATTCCAAGCATACACTGATCACAACTTGGAATTTTTTAGTTGTTCATCTTATTTATTGTTTCTCTCCCCCACTAGAGTGTCAACTCTACCATACCTATTGGAACATAGAAAGTGCTGACAGGTACTCACTGAGTTGACAAACAGGTAGATGACGAGGGCGTGGACTTCAGAGGTCCATGGGGCCGAGGGCCAGGAGAACACTGATATTCAAGGGGTGGGCAGAGGGGCTGCCAAGGAGACTTGATAAGGAGGGACAGAGGGAGGAGGCAGTAACCAAGAGAGGAGGGCTACGTTGGCTGGGGAGGCTTTTCACTGTTTGTAACAGCAAAGCTGTCCGGGTGATTAGATAAAAGGGTTGATTTTTCTCACAGTCTGGGTATTCAGCAGCAAAGCTCTGTGTCAGTGTCACCGAGGCCCTCTTGCCCTTCTCGTAGCCTTGGATGCATCACATCCTCATATGATGCGTTCAAAGGCAGGAAACAGCAACAGCGTGGAACAGACGTTCTCCTCATGCCTCTTTTATTGGTAGGATGTGGGGTGGTGATGTTGGAGGGATTGTCCCCAGACGACCCCTGCTAATGTCCCCCTAGATCCCACTGGGCAGAAGGACACATGCTTGCTTTGGACCAGGGGCTGTGCCTCTCTTGGTGAAATCAGAGAATCTCTTTCCTGTCCTTGAACAAACAGGATTCTTCCAGCCAAGGGGAGGGGAATGGCTTTTGAGTAAGGAAGGAATAGCGCTTGCCATTAGCACATTTCATAAGGAAGAGTTTTTCTGCTGGGTTAATTGATGCAGGGGGTCGAGTGGGATGGGTGCTGAGAAGTAGCCCCTAGATGTGACACTCAGTGGACTATGTGTGGCCCTTGAGAAGGCCGTTTCCATAGAGCAGCTGGATTTGATTGCACATTTTGTGGAGGGGGAGGGGCTTAGGAATTACTGGGAGAAGTTTAGGAGATGAAGGGAGACTACCAGGAAGCCTGGTGGTGAAGGGAAGAGGAGACGTGGCATCATCATCAGGTGCAGGAGGCAGATACAGGGAGATCTTGTCAGTTTCCTGGAGACTTGATGATGTTTATAGGCTGAGCAAAATGAGTTGGTGAGAGAGAGGGTAAAGATTTTGAAGCAAGATGGGATCATGGATCCCCACGTCCTGAAGGAGGCATGGAGGTGGCATGGAGGTGGCATCGAGTGCACAAGAGGTGGTGGTTGTCACTGGATCAAGCAGGAAGGCTTTTCTGAGGAGACCCTTTTGAGACAGGAGGGCAGGAGGGTGGATGACGAAACATGAAGATGCCCAGCCAGGACGGATTCCCCTTACTTTCCTTCGTGTGATAGTGGGCTCATTTAGAGATTGAATCCATGACCTTCACCTCTCCTGCTTCTTTGTTTTAATAATCTGATATAATAGACTCTTTAGAAATCCCCAGTCCATATCTGTGTGGTTGTGTCCTGGGAAGTACCAGGACAAAGCTCACTCCTTGGGTTTTGTTGTTTGGATGAATGGAAGCACCCAGTACATAGTCATGGGTGTGGTCATTATGGGATGCAATCCAAAGGGTGCAGGTCACTTAACACACAGCACAGAGCCACCAGATCCTGTGGAGTCAGGTGGGGAGCCAGACGGAGGGAGAGAGCCCTGAGCTGGGGAGAGAGGACTTGAGTTTCAGGTTCCAGGTTCAGTTCCTGGTCAAGCACTTACCAGCCGGGCTTCACTGGCGCCCACCGAGCCTGTGACCTCATCTGCAGAGGGGTGGGTTGGCAGCTCTTCTTCTCCCTTCCCTGCCCATAGTTACAAAATGTGGTGACTCCTTGTAGGAAATTAATCAAATGCCTTCCTGCCCCTCCTCCATCCCTCTCTGGGGAGCCTGCCCCTGCTCAGTACCACCCCGAATAGGATGATATTTTTGTTTTGGTTTGCTTGTTTGTTCATTTGTTTTGAGATGGTGATTCACTCTGTCGTCCAGGCTGGAGTGCAGTGGCGTGATCTTGCAACCTCCGCCTCCTGGGTTCAAGTGATTCTCCTGCCTCAGCCTCCTGAGTAGCTGGGACTACAGGTGCACGCTACTACGCCCAGCTAGCTTTGTATTTTTAGTAGAGACAGGATTTCACTATGTTGGCCAGGCTGGTCTGGAACTCTTAACCTCAGGTAATCCGCCTGCCTCAGCCTCCCAAAGTGCTGGATTTATAGGCGTGAGCCACTGCGCCCTGACTGTTGGTTTGTTTTCTGGGTCTTGCTCTGTCGCCCAGGCTGGAGTGCAGCGGTGCAGTCGTGGGTCACTATCGCCTCGACCTTCTGTGCTCAAGTGATCTTCCCCATTTAGCCTCCCAAAGTGCTGGGATTACAAGTCTGAGCCACTGTGCCTGACCGGGATGTTGTTTTTCTTCACCATTACCCCTGGTCTCTCACTTCTGGCATATTTCCTCCTTTGTTTTGGGGAATGATGGCATGGGGCCCAGGGAGTAGGGTTGGGAGCCAAACTTTTCTCCTCTATTTATTCAGATCGTAGCTATGGATGCAGCAAAAAGCAAACAGAAGTTTGACTAGATATATGAGCTCAGTATTCCACAACATTGAAAGCTGATGTGTACTTACGTAGGAGGCTTAAAACATAACGTTAGGTTAAAATGAATAATAGCCCCAACAGGAAAAAAAATAGTGCATTCTAAAGAAGTTCTTAGCGGGAATGTTCAGAAGCTTGGTTGGTTTGACTGACACTAGCTCTGCATGTCTCCTTCTTGGTAGCTCCTTAATGCAGACCTCTGTTGCTCCCTGACTTCTCCATTGGGTCACATGTGGCCAGTAGCATGAGCATAATATCCCTATCATTGTTGTCTCGCAGGGTGAGAGTTCGGAAGGAGCCATATTTACTTTTAGGCCACCCTCTTTATTTATCTAGCACGTGGGGTGGGACCGTGACCGAAGGAGGGCTCCATGCACATCTCCTGTGTTGTTGGAGGAGGTAGTGTTGGTAACGGGCAAGGAGCAGAGTCATTTGGTTCCAGCAAAGCTGCTTCCATCAGATTGGTCCTGCCCCTTGGCTGGACTTCGCTTCATCATCTCTAAAATGAGATTAAAGATTGTTTCTCCCTCATGGGAAGGCTCCGGGATTCAGTGAGCTTATGCCTGTTTAGGTAAGTATCTGGCACAGGGTCACCACCCTGTGCCATCACATCTGCCCAGATGAAATCAGGTAATCAACTGACGCACCCGGAGTGCCCATCGCACATGCATGCTGTGCCCCATGGGAAAGGGCATCAGATGTGACTCTGCCCTCAAGGAATCCGCATCTAGCAGGAGAAAGAAAACTGACACTGTGGAAATAAATAGAGAGCTAGAAGGCCAGCGGGACCCGCAGTTCCCCACGGCGCGGACATCCTGGAGGGCGAGCAGCTGCCGGGCGGGGCACGCTGTCAGCCAGCCCTGCCTAATCTCCTGGCAGCCAGAGCAGAGAGAAAGCAGAATCTGGTATTCATTGCGCGGTTGTTTCTAATTTCCTTCTGCTTTCGAGATCCTCTTCTAAGGGAGAACAATGCCCTGAATGATGGGGCACAGGTTTTCTTGGCTGGGCACCCACCCAGCTGTGGCAGAGGCCAGGCACTCACAGTGCCGGTGGCGTTTGATTCTGGCCTCTGAGAAGCTCCTCTGACAGTGGGGTTTGGTGGCTGGTTTGAGTCCTGGCCCACAGGACAAGTCCCCCCAGGCTCACTTACGAGTATTGTCTTTAACATTTCCCTATCTGCCTAAGAAGAACAGTCTTTTGTGTTATCGCCGGGGTTTCTTATGAGACTGGGGGGGTGGAGGGATCACTGAACCCCAGAACTCTCTGTAGGACCCACATCTGGAGCCAAGAGGCCGTTCTGTGCCACCACACTCCCCGGAGTGCCCATCGTGCGTTGGAGGGGGACGGTGTTGGCCTCGAGTGCTGCCCTGGCAGTTCCCTTCACAGACCATGCCTGAGAGGACTCTCAGCAGAGGACCATGGGCTGACATATTTACAGCCGGTGCCTCATAAGGCTGGCCAGGGCAGGAGGCCCAGGGCTGAGTCCAAGGAATGGGGTGGGGTTTCCTCATTCCTTGCTGTCTTCATACTTGGCCTTCTATTTGTAGATTTCAGTAATTTATCAGCCTTTCTGGGTTCCTCTTTCATCACCAGAAGCAGAGTGAACCCAAGGTAAGAAACCCACTTGCATTAAGGGCCGAGAGAGGCTAAGGGGCATTTGATGATGACTTTCAAGTCCATGGGGCTGTATCGAGGAAGATGCTATGGGAGTGGCAGCTGGGAGGGTGAGTGAGGGACTGCACAGTCCCAAGAGGCCCTGGCAGGTTCAGCTGTCTTCAAGATGAGCAAGACCCAGCTGGGCACAGTGGCTCACGCCTGTAATCCCAGCACTTGGGGGGGCCGAGGCAGGCAGATCACCTGAGGCTGGGAGTTCGAGACCAGCCTGACCAACATTGAGAAACCCCATCTCTACTAAAAATACACTATTAGCCGGGTGTGCTGGCGCATGCCTGTAATCCCAGCCACTCAGGAAGCTGAGGCAGGAGAATCACCTGAACCCGGGAGGTGGAGGTTGTAGTGAGCTGAGATTGCACCATTGGACTCCAGCCTCGGCAACAAGAGCAAACTCCATCTCAAAAAAAGGGCCGGGTGCGGTGGCTCACGCCTGTAATCCCAGCACTTTGAGAGGCCGAGGCAGGTGGATCACGAGGTCAGGAGTTCAAGACCAGCCTGGCCAATATGGTGAAACCTCGTCTCTACTGAAAAATACAAAAATTAGCCAGGCGTGGTGGCATGTGCCTGTAGTCCCAGCTACTTGGGAGCCTGAGGCAGGAGAATCTCTGGAATCTGGGAGGCGGAAGTCGCAGTGAACCAAGATTGCGCCACCACACTCCAGCCTGGGGGACAGAGCAAGACTCTGTCTCAAAAAAAAAAAAAAAAGAAAGAAAAAAAGAAAGATGTTCAAGACTCAAGCCAGGTTTCCCAGGCTTAGGTCACCCAGGTGCATCCTCATCCACATGCCATTCTCACTACCATTTGTTTAATATTTTCCTTTTTTTTTCTTGAGATGGAGTCTTGCTCTGTCTTGCCCAGGCTGGAGTACTGTGGCACGATCTCGGCTCACTGCAACCTCTGCCTCCCGGGTCAAGCGATTCTCCTGTCTCAGCCTCCCAAGAAGCTGGGACTACAGGTGTGCGCCACCACACCCAGTTAATTTTGTATTTTTAGTACAGACGGGGTTTCACCATGTTGGCCAGGCTGGTCTAGAACTCCTGATCTCAGGTGATCCGTCTGCCTTGGCCTCTCAAAGTGCTGGGATAACAGGCATGAGCCACTGCACCTGGCCAAAGATTTTTCTCTAAAGATATTTATTTATTTATTTATTTTTGAGATAGAGTCTTACTCTGTCACCCAGGCTGGAGTGCAGTAGCGCAATCACGGCTTGCCACAGCCTCGACCTCCCAGTCTCAGGTGATCCTCCCATCTCAGCCTCCTAAGTAGCGGGAACTACAAGAACACAACACCACCATGCCTGGCTAATTTTTGTATTTTTTGTAGAGATGGGATTTTGCCATGCTGCCCAAGCTGGTCTTGAACTCCTGGGCTCAAGCAATCTGCCTGCTTCAGCCTCCCACAAAGTGCTGGGATTACAGGTGTGAGCTACCGTGCCCGGCCCTAAAGAGATTCATTTTGAAAATCTTAATCATTTAATTAAAGAAGAAACCTTTATGTCACTGCTGTAAATGAAATTCAGCATTTTGCTGACAGACACTGAAATAAGTACAGATGGAACAGTTAAAAGCACTCATTCTGTCCCTTTGATATACTCTTGAATGCCACTCATTGCTTTGTATAAGGTCTCGGTGTACAAATCTTTCTGTATCATGGGGCTCCATGCGCGTCTGATGGCAATGTTGAGGGTGAGCTTGATGTTGTCAAGGAGTAGGGTGATTTGCGCCAACTTGTGACCACACCAAAGAAACTGGGGATGACACCCCTGCTGCTTGACCAAGGGCTTGCTGGCTCCATATCAGTATCTCTAACAGGGGAGGACGACAGTGGCTGCTTCAGAGGGCTCAGTGAGGGTGAACTGAGCTCCAGGAGGATTTATTTATTTATGTATTTATTTGTTTTTGAGATCAGGCTCGGTGGCTCACGCCTGTAATCCCAGCACTTTGGGAAGCCGAGGTGGGTGGATCACTTGAGGTCAGGAATTTGAAACCAGCCTGGCCAACATGGTGAAACCCCGTCTCTACTGAAAATACAAAAATTAGCTGGGCATGGTGGCACGCTCTTGTAATCCCAGCTGCTCGGGAGGCTAAGGCAGGAGAATCACTTGAACCTGGGAGGTTTAGGTTGCAGTGAGCCAAGATCACACCACTGCACTCCAGCCTGGGTGGCAGAGTGAGACACCATTTCAAACAAAAATAAAATAAAATAAAATATAAAATAAAATATTTATTTTTGAGACAGGTTCTGACTCTGTCACCTAGGCTGGAGGGCAGGGGCTCCATCACAGGTCACTGCAGCCTCTGCCTCCTGGGCTCAAGTCATCCTCCTGCCTCAGCCTCCTGAGTAGCTGGGATCACAGGTGTGCATGGTACCGCACCAGGCTAATTTAAAATTTTTTTTGTAGAGGCCAGGTGTGGTGGCTCACACCTGTAATCCCAGCACTTTGGGAGGCCGAGGTGGGCAGATCACTTGAGGTCAGGAGTTCGAGACCAGCCTGGTCAACATGATGAAACCTCATCTCTACTAAAAATACAAAAATTAGCCTGGTGTAGTGGCACATACTTGTAATCCCAGCTACTCAGGAGGCTGAGGCAGGAGAATTGCTTGAACTCAGGAGGCGCAGGTTGCAGTGAGCTGAGATAATGCCACTGCACTCCAGCCTGGGCAACAGAGTAAAACTGTGTCTAAAAAAAAAAAAAAAAAAAAAAAATTATACAGACCGTATATCTCTATGTTGCCCAGGCTAGTCTTGAACTCCTGGGCTCCAGAGATGTACCTGTCTTGGCTTCCCAAAGTGCTGGGATTACAGGCATGAGCCACTGTGCCCAGTAGCATTTATAAAGTGCTGAGAAATAGTATCTGGCACGTAGTAAGCATTTAGCAGATGTGAACCCCCACTTTAACTTGGGAGATTTTGGCTGAGGGCCCTCGACTGTCCTGGGGATCTGCCTTTGTGGAGATGGGGCTGGGACAGACACTGCCAGGCTCCCTCTGGCTCTCTGCACATCTCTGTTGCTCCCTGACTTCTCCATCGGGTCAGGTGTGGCCAGGTAGCACGAGCATCATTTCCCTCCTGATTATAGGGTTAAACTAAGATGTGATCAGGACAGGCGTCATCATGAAATATCCCCACTGCAATTGGTGGTCATCTCTGTCCACTAGAGGCTCAGAAACGGGCTCCCAGGGATGAAGACTGGTGTGCACTGCTGGGGGCTTGTGGGATCTGTGTCTGCTCTTCCCTCTGGCCAGCCACGGGTTGTTTCTGGAATGGGACTCGTGGCTGGGAGGGAGGAAGGAGCTGTGGGAAGCAATCCCAGGTTCCTTGGTGGGACTGGAAACTCTGCCTCAGGGCCTGGAATTTTGACTTCCTGTTTGGCCTGGCACTTGTTCCCCCACATTTTCAGCTCTGGCACATCCTCTCCCTCCCCCTGTCAGCATTGTTTCCTCATCGTAAAATGAGGGGGTTGCACTAGATCCTATCTAAGGCCCCTGTGAGCTTGAGGAAGCCACGATTCTACCTCCGGCCACCCCCTCACTTTTCCCTCAGGCTTCTTGATTGGCAGTGAGTGGAGAGGTGGGAAGAAGGAGAGAAATCACAATAGCTGTGCATCAGGCCACCCGCAGGATGGCCCCGCAGCAAAGAACCGCACAGTCCAAAATGTGAATAGTGCCAAGGTGGAGAAACCCTGTTTTAGGGAAGGAAAGACAGAAGAGAGGAGATACTTAAAAGACAAATGTGAATGCGGCTGGGCATAGTGGCTCATGCCTATAATCCTAGCACTTTGGGAGGCGTAGGCAGGCGGATCACATGAGGTCAAGAGATCGAGACCAGCCTGGCTAACATGGCAAAACCTCATCTCTACTAAAAATACAAAAATTATTCGGGTGTGGTGGTGGGTG